CCATGACCGCCTCCAACTGGACGCTGGTGATGGAGGGCGAGTGGATGCTAAAATTGTGAGTGTGCCCGCCCCACACGCCACACTCTTCGCGCGGCTGCTCCCTATCCCGCGCCGCCACTCTACTCGACCTCGGGCCCCGGATCCGCCCTGCAAAAGACCTGCGGCGCCGGGTTGGGCCGCCCGCGCTGCGCATGCGCACCCAGACTGCTGCGGGGACAGCTTGGGGTGGAAAGTATCCCCCTGCCTTGCCGGCCCCTGCTTTGGGGAGAGTGTTTCAGTGATGCAGCAGTTTGCCGAGAGGAAGGGAGACAGTTTGCAATAAAGTGTGCTTTTATAGATATGTAGAAGAAGAAGCGCAGCCATTCAGTGACATTTATGTACAGTTATGAATACGTAGCACAGGCTAGGCAGGTTTTTAGTGAATAATTACAGCACAGTGAAAGCAAACCATTTATATAAAATATTTGAGTCTTCCTTTTGAAGACCTTGAGGTGTCATTGTGAAAATAAAACATTAACATGGGTGCCTTTAAAGTTTTAAAACAGGATTTCAAATAAATGTTAATGTTTGTTATTTTTAGAGGTAGACCTTCTGGGTAGATCATCACAGTTGTGCTAGTGTCATTAAAAAAAAAGACATTAACAGATTGCTCCTTTTGAACATCAGAAGATAAATGGTGGATAGTGCCATTGTTTGAAGGAGATGGGGAATTATATTTTTATGTTAGGAGAATGAAACGGATTTGCTGGTTGTAGCTTAAAATTAAACTTCTGGTAGTAAGGAAGTAACCATTTGAAAAGAGGTTTGATGTTGACAATGAGCAGGTATCTGAAAAGGCCTGAGAGACCTTCATAGTAAACTTGCAGGGGAAAGAAATATCTGGAAAAATGATTGCTGAAGCCACCTCACCTTAGGTGGCCTCAGACAACATTTATATTTGATCACTACTATTTTATAATTTTATGTTGAGGACACAGACACTCATAATATTAGATCTTTCCTCTTTTTATCCAAGAACAATTTCAGTTCCTTAAGTTTAGAGCTTAAGCAGTTGTCTATGGAGTGAAAACCTCAGTGTGAGATTGGGGCCAAAAGCTGTGTCCCATTGTTTACAGAGTTTAATGCATAGAATCCCTTCAAAGGTGCATTTACCTTTTGGTCACAAAGGGAATATTTGAGACCTCAAAATAATATGCCCTGTTATAATAAATCAGTGCAATTATTAGAGTGATAGTCACGAATAATTCATTAAAACACTCCACTTAACTACTTTGGATGGAAATGAGGAGGTCATATTTCATTTAAGACAGAAATGTTTTAAGTAACTGGGGCTTTGTATTAGGACTGCCATGTTTGTAAGAGTTTTAAAGAAATTATGGATTTTGTCAACCTATACTACAGAAAGTTCTTCTTTTAGTAGGTTCTGCACACAGTGGAATTTTTCTAGATGTCAATTTTGTGGTTAAAAATGAGTTTTTGTTATGTATGTGGTGACACTCAAGTCAAATGGCTTTCCTTATAGTTAATGACATCAACTTCTTTATGATTCTTTTGGATTTGCTTTTATTTATTTATTTATTTATTTTTGCAGTTTTTGGCCGGGGCTAGGTTTGAACCCGCCACCTCTGGTATATGGGGCTGGTGCCCTACTCCTTTTAGCCACAGGCACCACCCCTCTTTTTTTTTTTTTTTTTGTATTTGTTTTTTTTTTAAGTAAAAAAAATTTAAGAACACTAAAGCTGCAATAAGCTTATAAATGAGTGACCACCACCAACTCCCATGTTCGGCCATGTTGATGGCTCAAATTCTACTTTTTTATAAATACACAAGCCTAGACATAGTAATCTGTGGTCCAGGCTTGCTGCATGTCCACTTGTATGGCCTATACTTAAGGTGTGATGCAAGATGGGTCTTATAATCTGGAAATAACCTGTGTGGACAGTGAGGTCATTATAGGAAGCAAGGCTATAAAGGAAAGATGATTTAAACCATTCTATTCAATTTCTTTGTATTCATCAGAATCTCTTAAAGTGATCATCTAAAGACTATTATGGGTATTGTAATTTATTTTTCTTCATTTCTGCCTCTCCTCCCTGTGAAAAAATCCAAAGGTTTAAAAAATATAAAATTAGTTATATTCTCAGAACCATTATAGGCCTACTATAAATTTCTAAGAATTCATTCAGACCTCTAAAAAGTTAACAAATTTTTTTTCTGATGTATATAATAAAAACAAAGCTCCTTGTGGACACCTTTTCAGGTCATAGTGAATGGAGACTTTTGGGAGTCTGCAGATGATGTAAAGAAGCAAATTAGGAAGCTTTGTGATATTAAAAAAAAGTCATGATATTGTGAATGACAGTCTTTTATTTGTTCATTTGCTTATATGCTACCTTTTGGGAATATTTTTTTCTTTATATCCTATATCATGCACAGCTCTGTAATGTAATTTCTGGTTATATTGGTATAGAGAATTTAATTTATTTTTAAGGACTTTGCAGTGTTTGGCAGCTTTGAGATGTGAAAAGCTTCTATTAGGAAATTTAATTTGGTTACATTTTCTTTGTTTTTCAAACAGTCATTTTTTTTTATTTTTGCAATTGAATTTTCAGTTTTAGAAAAGCACTTCTCTGTTAAAGAGTCAGCTAGCTGTTATCACTTAAAAATGTGTGTACAGTGATTCGCCATTTCTATTCTGTAACCGTTTTTAAAAAATCTGAAAAATTCTCCATTACTACTTAATTTCTTCTAATGTCATGGCATTATTGTATACTGACTTTTTCTGTTCTTATTTGCTTTCATAGGTGGTTTACCCTTATTTCTGCCATGTCACTATGATTGACTTGCTGTGCTTTTCTGCTCACTTAACTTCTAATGCAGTTTGCCCTTTTTCTGAAATAGGAAGAATGATCTAATCTTTAAAATACTTTCTGATGCTTACTTTTCTTTATTTCCATTGTTTATACTATCCTTCATTCAGTTGTTTTGCTTAGCTGATACCAGTCTTTGAGAATACACTTTTATTCTTTTTAAATATGCAAGTATGCAATGTGATACATTCTGTGTACTGTTCTGTTGGCTTTTTCCTCCCAAAAGAATTAAGTAGAAATCCAAGTGGCTTAATTTTGACCTATCTACTTTCAAACTGACATCCATAGGAAAATTATATCTTTGGGTTAAATTTACCTCTGTAAAGCATATAGATCTTTATAAAGCACTGCATTTTCTTCCTTTGTTCTTAGGCTATTCATGTTTCAAAATTGAAATTAAACACCTGGTGATAAAGCAGAGCCTAATTTACTTCCCTAAGACATCTAGGTTTTAACTTTGTTTTTCCAGGATCTTCATATACCGGGAGAGAACCTTTTGAACATTATTACCTTAACTTGCCCATGTCACATAGTTATAATTTCTTACAGTTTAATAGATGGATTTATTGATTAAATGTTAGGCTCTGGGCCTGTAGCTCAGCTGCTAGGGCACCAGCCAAATACACCGAAGCTGGTGGGTTCAAATCCAGCCCGGGCCTGCCAAACAACAATGACTGACAACTATAACCAAAAATAGCTGGACGTTGTGGCCGGCACCTATAATCCCTGCTACTTGGGAGACTGAGGCAAGAGAATTGCTTAAGCTCAAAGAGTTTGGAGTTGCTGTGAGCTGTGACACCACAGCACTCTACCCAGGGTGACATAGTGAGACTCTGTTTAAAAAATAAAAAAAGATATTGTCATTCAGTGCTTCTTATGTGTAAAGTACAGGGTTGGGTATCTGAACAGGTGAGGATGAAGAGTTACAACCTTGATTATGAGAGTGCTCTGAAGGAAATAAGTAGTATAAGTCACGTGCATTTACCGAGCAAATGTTTACTTGGATGCTTCCTCTGTGCTAGGCGTTCATCAGTCCTTCTCAACAGGGCACTATTGACATTTTGGGTAGGACAGTTCTTTGGAGTACTGGGATGGCCCACACGTTGCAGAACCTTTGGTATCCCTGCCCATTACATTCTGGTAGTATACGCAGTCATGTGACAGCAAAACTATTACAGCCTCCGTTCCCTGTGCAAACTCTGAATGCCTCTAGGTACTGTTATGAGTATTAAAACATGGCAATAATTGATTTTAGATAGTTTCCACAGAGGGTTTAAAGCCTCATTAAAACTTGTCCTCCCCATCACCTCCATCATCCTCCTCCTCAGCATTGTCATCACAATCACAGTAAACAGCTACACTGCTTACATCACATTTCTAAACGCTACCTTAATGACCATTTTAACAATGTGGGAGTGGGTATCATTCCCATTCTTACTGACTGGAGATGAAAACTTGAAAAGTTCAAAGCTTTGGCCAAGATCCAATCCTTAGTAAGAAGTGGAGCTTAGCAGACCCCTATACAAGGCTGGGAGATAGTAAGGGGAGCCTGGAGGAAGGCACAGAGCCTAGCTGACTCTTGCTTAGGTCCTCATCTCGTGACAGGAGGCCTTGTTCCTGTAGGGTTCAGGGGCCCATCCATGCCGTACCATCTCTCTAGTTTCTGTAAATTAACGTTTTTATTATGTGCTTATTCCTGGCACTGCTCATCACTTAGGTATGTACCCCTGCCTTACCTATCCCAGACCCCAGGAGTATTCTTTCTTACTCTGCCTTGGTTGTATCTAACATGGTCCTTATCACAACTGGTAATTATACATTAATTTATATGGTTTAGTGCTAAGTTTTTCCTTGACTCTTCCGTTATAAGATTTTAAGTAGAAGAACAAAGTTTTTCGTCATCCTTGTTTATCTCCAGATTCTTAATAACTAACAACAAATACTTTTTGACTAAATGAATGAGTGCCTAATTGATGTTAGTTGTTTCTTTAATCAAGAGATTTTTCAAGTATATCCCTGAAGGGAACATCTGTATATATTTTCTTAATATTATGTACAATCACTATTCTCTCCCATTTGCTCCCTGCAGTAATATTTATTGTGATGTAGGACCTGCCAGGCCCTGTTCCAGGTACAAGTGATGCAGCAGTCACTGCCTTCGTGGAGTGTTCATTCTAGTGGAAGGAGTGAGTTCCTCTTTCTCTAGAGGTGTCATGGTTTTCAGAGAGCTGTCAGTTTTTATTTTTCCTTTACCTTTTTTGATAACATGTTCAAGCAGTGATTTTCTAATGAAATGCACTTGAGCATAAAGGTTTCAATTTCTTGAATCTTTCTGTATTTTCCAACAAGAAAAAATAACACTTAATGTAGTTGCGGTATCTTTTGTTGGCATTTTGATTTAACTTCATTTACTAAGTTGTAGAAAGATGAACTTACTATACTTTTCCTCTTCCTTGTTACAGAATATTCTGAGCATTTTGATTAAAGTGAAAATTAACTATCTCTCATAGAGCCAAGACAGAAGAAAAATTGCCTATTATTGGTCAATACAAGTTTACTTTTTAAAATGTCTTTCCAAACAATATATCCCTTCCTCTGAAATGTTTACTACGTCTAATGAAATGTTTAGTACACCTAATGAAACGTTTAGTACACTAGTTGACGTAACAGCCTACCACATTCAGTGAGTTCATACAGTAAAAGATTCAAGGTCTTTCAACCACCTGACATCTAGCAGAACCTCAGTGCATTTTTATACATGAATACTGACAAGGACAACAAAAGCTTGCTGTTGCATTTTATTCTAGAAATGGTTAAAAACATTGGACTGACAATGTGTTTTGGTTATCTAGAATATATTTCCAAATATCTTTATGAAGTTTTCTAATTTAATGTACCAGTGTGACCCTTTCAAAGTTTTTTTTGTTGTTGTTGCGGTTTTTTGCCAGGGCTGGTTTGAACCTGTCACCTCCAGTATATGGGGCTGGTGCCCTAATCCTGGAGCCACAGGCACCACCCTCCGCCTTTCAAAGTTTTAATGGAAAATATACTAGGTTATAGTTTCTGTGATGATAATGGAGCTAATTCTTCCTGGAGGCTCTTAAATCAAAGAATGATTATGTATAAGGGACAACGCTATGGCAGTTAGATCTTTTATGGTTCTTAGGAGAAGACTGCTACTGTGAATTAGTTTTAAATAATTTATAAATGGAGATCATGTTCAGTTCTTTCTGATGAGTTTTATTCATGCATACATGCATATGTATATAAATTATATATAGATTGTAAATTATAAATATATATATATGTGTACACATAGAGATGAGAGAAAGAGAAGGGCATGGAGATTATATGACTTACCCTTGCATTCATTTCACCCCTGAAAGTCTTTTACTTACAGTAGGTTCTGAATTCCTGTCTAATTGGTATCTTTTAGATACAAAAGAATACTAAGAATTTTAAAAGCTGCAGCAACCAGTTCCCACACCACAAACTCAGAGCTGGCTTATGTCCACCACTGAAAGAACATCTTGGTGCATCCCAGCATAATCAGCTCTGATTAAATCTCTGAAACAAGGGCATTAGCAATGCCGACCAGTGGGTAGCAGCTATATAGAAAGTGTCACATCTGAAATTACCTCAGTGGAATATCTGAGGGTAGATAATATTATATGTATGTATATTTCAAGGTCATGTCACCAAAAGCCTACTTTGCCTGTTTGGCAGTGCGGATGCAAAGTCAGATGAGTACCTGCATCCTAAGTGTCTGGAAACCTAACAGTATTGCAAGTGTAATTTGTAGTATGAGTGCTCTTAATATGTGCCAGCTTTACATGTGACATCTAGCTTTCTAAGGTAGCTACTGTTATACACCATTTTATAGCTGAGCCCTGGAGACATTATTAACTACCCAAAGTCACATGGTTAGTTTCTGATTGGTCTCTCTGATTCCTCTGGCATAACCTCTTGAAATGTACTCACTTCAATCTTTCTTTCCTTATTGTTTTCTCCTCTAAAATTTGCCAACAGTCTGACTGAACCTCACTTCATCTGCTATTTGGATATTTAGAAAATATGTAGAAAATAACTTTTCTTAGTACACTTGTTTATTTAGCAAACATTTATTGAGCACCCATTGTAAACCAGGAATATACTTTGCTGTGGTTATAGAGAAATAAATGTTTTTAAAAATGTTTTAAAAATATCTATCTTTAAAGAAGGCTGGATCCCAAGGCTTGGACAGTGAGCTGTAATGGGAAGATGACTGAGCTTTTTTGCATTGGGCTATGAAATAGTCTTTTCTAGTTACTGAGTTAGGGAGGGAGAGCAACTGTGCTGTTTCTGGGGCCTAGCTGGAGAAAGAAATGTATGCTTCAGCTTTGGGCAGCCCTTTCAATTTTCAATGCCTATCTCAAAATACATGCATCCCTTCCCCGAGTCCTGCCTCCATCACCTTTTATAATGCGAAAAAGCAAATTTTCCCAGATTTCAGGTTTGTGTATTTGTTGTTTAGCAAAGTTGGTTTCTGTACATCATTGCATCCACTTTTGAATGTTATTTATAAACATGCTTATGCAGAGTTCAAGATTTTAAAAGAATATGTAAATGACAACCTGAGAGTCACCTTTGTGCCTAAATCTTTTCAGAATTTGATGAGTTTCCTGCTTTCTGCCTGACTTTGTTTCCTTCCTAAGGCACTCATATGCCTGTGAATATGTATTTTGTTTTGTTAACACGCATTTTTTTCCCTCACTTCGCCCCCTTACTTCTTTAATAGAGAAATAATAGGTGTCACATTTCATAAAAACAATTTAGAGATGGAAAAAGTGACAGATAAATTGTAGGGAATTGGCATTTTTAAATTGCTCAGCCTACTCATCTACAAGTTAATGTATTTCTCTATTGAATCAAGTCTTTATTATGAAAAATTTTAAACAGGTACAAAAATAGGAGTTGTTGAGGGAACCACTGTTATCTGTGATCAGGGTTCAGCAGTTACCTGTCTAAGGACAATACTTTTTTATCTGTACCTCTTGTCCTTTGTTTCCCTTGGTGATATAATTTACACACTATTACATTCATCAATTGTACATGAACAATTTAGTAAGATCAAGTCTTTTTTAAGTCTGTTTTCACTCAATATTTTGACGTGAGTTAGATTTTTTTAAAAACTTTAAGCAGATTTTAAAAATATATCTAGTTGTTGGTGGCATTCTGAAATATTATTGAAGTGCTTGATTTTTTTTTTTTTTTTTTGGAGTATCCTGTTCTATTTTGTAAGCATTGATCTATTTGTTTTATTTACTGCCTTTATCTGCTGGGTATCATGAAGCAAAACACAGTGTTTCTCTACTTGTGCCAAAGTATTTTCGTGACATTCAGTAAATGTTAATTTTCCTTTGAATTGTGTCCTGTTAGTGTTATAAAATGGATTCCCAGCATACGATGCTGTTTGTTCATGACATTACATGTGAAGTATGGCCTTGCCAGCTCTTGAAATGTCTATAAGGCTTATTTGATCTCAATTCTTTCTAATTTCAAGGGTTATCTTCCCTTCTATACTAGTTTCCCTAGACTGCTGTAACAAATTACTACAAACCCTATGGCTTTAAACAATTGAAATTTATTCTCTCATCATTCTGGAGGTCAGAAGTCCAAATTTGGAGTGTAGGCAGGGTTGGTGTCCTTTGGAGGTTCTATGGAAGGATTCATTCCAGTGCTGTTCCCTGGCTGCTGGTGGCTGATGTCAATCCTTGGCTTATAGCTACTTGACTCCAGTCTCTGCCTCCATTTTTACATGGCTTTTCCCTGTTCTTCTCTGTCAAATCACCCTCTTCTTTCTCCTGTGGGAACAACTGTGTTTGGTTTTAGGATTCACCTTAAACCCAGGATTATCTCATTCTGAGATCCTTAATTTAATTATACCCACAAAGACTCTTAGTCCAAATAAGGTCACATTTACAAGTACCAGACTTACCTTTCCAGGGATTACTGTTCAGTTCACTACACTTCTCTGGATTTTCATTTTGGCACCTACAGACAAAATGCTGGAGAACATTGGGCTTTGTGGTCTGAGTATTTGCTGTGTTTTCCAGGACATGGGAGGATAAAAGGAGGCCACTAACACATTGCCAGGATGGCTGCCCAGCCTTCCAGTTCTCTTTACTTTCATCTTGTCTTTCCTTGACCAAGGATCTGCAGGGCTTCCAGGAGAGATTTTTCTAAGCTGTAAATCTGATCATAATGCTATTACCTCTTAGGGCTTATCATGGAGCTTCAAATGAGATCCTGGCTCCTAATGCAACTTTCTAACAACCATGGATGATGTCTTCACCCTGGCAACTCAGTGCTCTGAGCCTTCATGCATCCTGTTCTCTCTGCTCAGATGCGAACATTCCCTGATCTCTGGCTGGCTGTTACTCTTACTTTAGATCTCAGCACAGAGATTCCTCTCTCCTGGGCCCTTGTGATACACCCCTGCCCCTCAGTGGCTCCATACATCTGTTCCATAGGCTCAATCATAGCATTTGCTGTCTGGTTTGTATTTACCCCAGTGCTTAGAGATAATCCGGAGATGTTCAGCTCTGGATTTTATGATCCACGAGGATGGTAGTTGTGAAGCGTTCTGAAAGGGAAAGTAGAAAGTGTCGGATAGAACTGGGTTAGGCTTTAGTTTTAAATGTTTCAAAACTACCACGGATGGATCTTCAGATGTTTGGGAACGTTCTTGACTCTCAAGCAATAGATCTTGTTTCTACACACGAGAGCTGTAGGTTAGATAGATCTAAAACCAGTTTGGCAAGTTTAGGAACATCCTTGCAAAATCTGTCCTATTTAGTGGAGCAGTAAAAATTCACTGATAAAAAGTATATGGGGAGTGACAAAATTGCACAAAAAACATTGAAATAAACTGTTTTATATATTATAATAATCAAATTTTTCCTAAGGAACTGACATTTATACATTAAATCTTATGGCAGGGAATGTGATTTTGTTTTTTTGTCAAGTGACTTTCGAAAAGCTTGTTTTTATACCTTAGTTAAAAATTATTTTTTAAATTTAAATACTCCTGTATTTTGTTTTACAGATTTTTTGCATATGTTTACATTGATTAGCTGTTCTTCTCTTGTAGTTATGCTCCGTGGTGTCCTTCCTGCCAGCAGACTGATTCAGAATGGGAGACTTTTGCAAAGAATGGTGAATCACTTCAAATCAGTGTGGGGAAGGTAGATGTCATTCAGGAACCAGGTACTGTAAATGTTGAACGTTAAATATAAAAGTTTAACAACTTATTTTGAATTTCTTTGAGTATATAGAAAAGTTAAAAGACTGGGATAGGGATTACCAGTGAACTGACTACCTTTTATCAAAGGAGTATTTTGGCACGTCTGGGTATATGTATATGTACACATTTACACGTACATATTTGCACATATATATAATACATTAATTTACTGAGCCATTTGAAAGTAAGTTGTAGACATCATGATAATTTATCCTTCAATCCTTTACCATTTTAAAATCTTTTCAATTATGGATGGCGCCTGTGGCTCAAAGAAGTAGGGTGCTGGCCCTATATACCGGAGGTGGTGGGTTCAAACCCAGCCCCGACCAAAAACTGCAAAAAAAAGAGTAAATAAATAAAACCTGAATTATTTCTCATATGTATTTTTGTAGTTTTTTTGAACTGTTTCAGTCATGACTTAGAAATTGCATTTGGTGATTAGTCTTTTTAGTCTCTCTCAATCTGGAATTATCCTTCATTTTTTCCATGATATTGATATTCTGAAACAAAGAGTCATAGATTTTCTTAGGTGTTTCCTTGTGACATTTAAAAGAATATATATAATATTTTCTTCATTTTCTATAAACTGGAAGTTTGAGTCTAGAGCCATGATTTAGGTTAAACACTTAATGGCAAGAGTACTTCACAGATGATGCTGTGACATCATTCATACTGCTTCTTACCAGAAGCTACCTGCTGTCACATTCGTGATGTTAAGTTTGAGTGCTTGGTTAAGGTGGTGGCACTAAATAGCTCAGTTGTGAAGAAATAACCCTACTCGTGCTTAGCAAGTAATCTGTGGGATGATACTTGGGGGTTTTAAGATCCCTGATGTTCTTGGCTGAATCAGACATTTCCCTGTGGGTTCCAGAATGGTGAACTTCTAATTCTGTCATTCCATCTACACTGGTTACCTGCCAGTGATGTATTTTTTCAGGAGAAAGAAAGAATTGTTCTTACCCCAAGAATAAAGAGAGATATAGGAGATTGTTTTAAATTCTCAAAAGATATCACACAATAAATTTGTAGTTCTGAAATAACTTTGCATATTATACACATATATAAATTGAGAAGAAACATTTGCCTTTTATGATTTAAATCTCTAAAATTTGGCTGTTTTCAAATTTTAGCAGTCATCTTTTCTTATCAACATTCATTTTCTATTTACTGCATTCTTATATTAGGAAAAAAAAAGATAGGTGTCAAAGGATAAACTATTCACTTTTCTGTAATTATTGTGAGTTCAAAACCCACAAAGTAACAAAGACCGATTACTTGGACAACAAATTGGATAGTGTGTGTTAAAATTGATATAACAGCTGGTGGCAGTGGTTAATGCCTATAATCTTAACACTATGGGAGGCCAAGGCAAGGAGGATCACTTGAAGCCATGAGTTTAAGCAACGTAGTGAAATCTGGGCAACGTAGTGAAAACTTGTCTCTATGAAAAATAAGAAAAATCATCTGAGAATGGTGGTGCCCAGCTGTAGTCCCAGCTGCAGTCCCAGCTGCTCAGAAGGCTGAGGTAGGAGAATCACTTGAGCTTAGGAGTTCTAGGCTGCATTGAACTGTGATTGCACACCTGTACTCTAACCTGGGCAACAGAGCAAGATCCTGTCTCAAATAAAAAAAAAAAATGAGCAAAATAAAATTGGAGAGAAATTTATATTAAAAGGTTTAACTCCTCAAGCCTCCATCTTAGTAAGCATTTGAAGCTAAGGCACCTCTGCCCGTCCTCTTATTTAGAAATAGACACTATTAGGTCATGTTTTTTGCTGTCATAATGTGTTATTCTGTTTGGAGACCAAATCATTTTAATTACATTTTTGCAAAAAACTTATACTCTTTTAGTACTTTGTGAGTGTAGTAAAATCAGGTATAAGACTTGTTATTAGTGTTTTATAATGTATTTCTTAAGATTGTAGCTGGCCCATGTACATTTCAGTTATTTTGTATACCTGCCATGAATTTACTGCATGATTTGAATTAAAATAATTAGCCTTGTCATGGTATCACAAAGCTAAGGTTTAATTAAATGTAGTCTTTTAATCTGATAATATAGACTTATAGCTGTTTTTTTCCATTGTGAATGTATATATACATTCTTGATAATGAAAAGAGAATTGAAAATATTTTTAAAACATTCAGTTTTGACTCATAATTTATATAAAGCTAAATTATATATACACTTCTAATACTCATTGAAGAAGGAAAAATCAAATAGTGAAGCAACAAAGTCTAATAAACAAAAGGTGATTATTTTGTGTATTAGAACAATTTTTTTAAGGCGGGGGCTCTAGAATTCCTTTAAATAACAAAGATTTAGGAAGTGCGAATCACAAATAAAAATTAGAAGATGAAATTCTCCTACCTGTGTGATTGTTGGAATGGCCTATAGAATTTTTCACTTTACGTTATATTGCTTAAATTTATAATTATACTTTGAATTACAAGCCTAATGCTTTCAATTAATCTGTTAATAGGAATTAGGAACAATGTTTATTCAACAAATATATGAGGTTCTACCAAGGACCAGACCGGTTCTAGATACCAGTGATGCAGAAGTGACTAAGGAAGCCAGAGGCCTGACTCCTTGTTAGCTTACTTCCTAGGGAAGGAGATGAATGGTAACAGAGATAAATAGGCAAACAGTGCCAGACGGTGATAAGGACTGTGAAGAAAAATGAAATGGGGTAAAAATTTAGAAAATGATGAAGCTAATTTTAAGAATCTGAAGGCCTGGTAAGCACTATTTAACCAGAGTACTTGATAAATTGAATTTCTGAAAGTCTTTCAGGAGGAGCATTCCAGACCAGCAAATCCCCCATGCAGGTGGGAATGTACTTGGCTTGTTTGTGGAACAGGGTGACAAGATAACGGAAATGGAGAGGTAGCTAGGGACCAGACTACACAGAATCTTGTTGGTGTAGCAAAGAGAGTAGATTTTATATAAAGTATGATAAAAAAAGGAAGCTACTGGGAGGTTTGAACAGGGAGAGTAACATATGACTTAGGTTTACAAAGAGTTCCTTTGCTACTCTGTGAACAAATGGATCACAGAGGGTCAGAAATAGGAGAAGAGTAAGGAGAGGTTAGCACAGCAGTCTAGAAAGAGAAGATGGTGGCTTGGACTTGGAGCAGAAAAGGTAAGTGGTTGGATTCGAGATACTAGGATTCCTGCTGGATTAGTTGTGGGACTCTATAGAGACTGAGCTGAAGCAGGTTTGGGACAGGGGTTAAGTTCTGGATATTAAATAGACTTATAGGTAAGATATAGATGGTATTTGGAGCTAGGGGAGGGATTGAGATTACCAAGGGACTGTGTGCTAGAGAAGTGAGAAATGGGCATTCCATTCAGAAGTAGAAAAGTCGTAGCGAGGAAAAGGTACAGTCAGTGAGGTGGGAAGGAGAAGGTGGGAGCCCAGTGAAGAGAGGTGTCTGATGTCACACTAACTCACTGGCTGACCTCTGAGGCAGTTTGCCCTGACATGGAAACATTTTGACTAGTTACTTCATTTTTACAAAATCTAATGTCCAAAATGAACAGTAGAAAACCAGTGAAACGACATTGATCATTTTTCCTGTGGTCAAGTCCTTTACTGGATATTTATGTATGCAAATTTCCATTTGCTTATAGATCTCCATAAATATATTTCTTACAGCCTTGCTACTGGAGTGCTAGTAAGGAATAATTTGAATTTCTTTTCACTTCAAGTAAAATTTAAAAAGACTGAAGTAGAAGAATGTTTGAAGTGTTTGTGCATACTCTTTAGCTATGTCTATAACTCCTCTATCAATTTGTCTAATTAGAGATTCTTTTAGATATTTTAAATAGAAAATAAGGTCTTAGAATTATCAAGGGATCATAAACATTTTTCTTTTTTCAAATGAGAGGTAGAAGTCCAGGAAAGGGCAGGCCTTAGATTAGGTTACACCTGTTCAATATTGCATGGATCAGGTGATGTTTTAGTCGAGCTGAATTTAGGAAATTAAATTTAATGAGTATGTACTTGACCCTTCTGTTCCATGCAGGTGAGCTTAGTTGTCAAGGATAGCAAAACAGCATCTGCTCAGAGTTGACCTGTTGGTAGATGGCTATTTCACTGTTAGAGGCAAAGTATATCTCTACCACAGCCAAGAAAAAGCATTGTGTTTAAAACTACCACTTAAAATACAGAAACCAATTTAGTTTATTGTATTTCAGTTAGTGTTATATTTCTAATTTTTTAACTGTAGAAAAGGTCTTTTGTGTTCTTTTATGTTGACAACTTTATTTCAGTCTTAAAGGTAAGGTTTGCTGTACCTTTTGTTCACTGTTTCCCTTCTGCTGCTGTCTTTGGTGGTAATAACTCACGTTCAGTGAGCGTTTACTTCCACCTGTAATTGTAACACACCTTGACTGTGTTTTAGCTTCATAACAGCCCTATGAAGAACAGACTGTTTATTTCTATTCTAAAAAACTGAGACTCAGTAATGTTTAGCAACATGTCCAAGGTAACATAGCGAATAAATAGAATAAAAAACTATTAGCTATCTCTGTTTATTTAATTCTTAAATAATTTCTGTTGTGTTTTTGTATATCAAAATATAATTCCCTACTTACTGTTTACTTTCTCTAAACTTTTTAAACTTTCTCTTTTGCTATATATGTTTAAGTTTTTTTAGTAAGGAATTAGGTTTTCTTTGCATTCTGATTTTATAACTTTTTTATGTTGTATTACAGTCTTTATTTTAAAATGGAAAAGGCTACAGAAATTTTGGGAAGCTTTGTGTTCAGACTTTTGTCTCTTTTACTTAAAAGCTTAGGAGTAGACTTGGTTCTTCCACACTGAAGTTTTTGTAGTGAAATATATTTTCTATAAGAACATATAAAGTATTTGAAAGAGCATATTAAAAAATGCTTTGGATTTTCTAGCATTTATTAAAATGCCATTTATTCTGATAAATGTGAAATCTAAATAAGAACCCTTTAAGAAGTGATGAGTTATTTATTTTGTTCATTCCATTTTCAAAGGTCAAGTAAAACACCTCCCTAAAAATCATAACTGTCCTTAAATAAAATTATTGTGTAGTCAGAAAAACGTGAGAGATAAAACTGTAATAATTATTTTAAACCAAAGATATGTAGTAATTTCTAATTACTTAGGAATTTTTCCCTGGCAAGGTATAGTTGGAAGTATACTGTGGGCTCCCTTGTTCCCCAGTAGAGTAGAATTCCAAGCATTGTCAGAGGTGAAATTGTCCTTAGATGGAGGTGCTTGTTACAGTTCTCAGTTGGGCATCATTTCAGGTCACTTGTGTCTGTGTTACTGCTGATACAACTTTTTTTTCAATGTACAGTGAGAAATTTATATAGTAAATGTTTCTTTTTGTGACATTAACTTTAACCCTGAATACTATATTTTCTTTTAAGGATCACAGAGATGTTTTTAGAGTCCACTTGGTGTATTGTGAAATAAAATAGAAAATCCTTTTGTGAGAAGACTTACTGTTAATTATTATACTGAATATGAATTTAATTCATAAAATGGCAAAAAATGAATTTCCCACGTCATTAAAAGTAAAACATTAGTGTTTTGAATTGAAAGTTACCAAATAATTGCACAAAGTAAAATTTGAGTAACTTGATTTAAATAGATAATTTGATTTTGTCTGGATTGTTCTTCCATGGAAAAGGCAGTAGTGATGGGAAATGTTAAAATGCCATTTTTCCACGCCGGCCAGAAGGATCCTTTAGTTCTTCTCATTCCTGGTGCCCACAAAAATACGCTTATTTGTAAGTACTATTTCTTTATACACATGTGAAAGGCAGGGATCTGTGCTGTACGCCCTTGTTCAGGTCTTGGCTGCATGCCAGGTTTCTCTGTCATTGTTTTCTGTTTATAGTTCTAATTGTGCTTATGCCATTAAATTCTTTCCCTTTACCATTAGACTATAGTAGCAGCTCTGTCTAAACAAAGACTGTACATATTTTTGCATATCTATGAGTCTTGAGCACTTGTCACAGTCACTGAAACAAAGTAGGTACTCATTTAATATTTGCTGAATAACTAAGGGCTGTATTTGTTTTCACGTGCATGTAGCATAGCTTTTGCTTAAGGACTTTGTGTTCAGTGAAAGTTTGCCAAGACTAACTTGAAAAAATGTAGTTCATGTACATACATTTCATTTATTTGAAAATCTTGTAAGTATGTAAAGATTATATGTGATCTTTATGTGATCTATAATATTTTATGTTTTTTATTGTTCTTTTTAAATTTATAACTCATGTAGTAATATCTATAGTTTGTTGAGTCCTTCACAATGTGCCAGTGTGCTGAGCTCTTAATATACGTGATCTAATCTAACTTCAGAACAGTTAGTCCTTAATATACCTATTTTCCAGATCAGGTGACTGAAACTCAGAAAAGTTAAATAATTAATCTAAATTCGGAATGTTAGTAATTGGGGAAGTTAGTATTTAACCCATATTCTACGACTCTAAATCCTTCAGCTTTCACACACTCCCAGAGTGATGCACAAACTGGGAAATGCCAGGGTAACACATAAAGACAAGTTGTGTCAGTGATTAGAAAGTGTTAATCAAAGTGGGTAGAAATGAAATTTCTCTAATGCAAAAATAAATAGTATATGTGATTCAGTAATTGCAGTGGTTTTCATGTGATGATGAAAGCAATCTCAAGGAAGCTTTTTCTTGGAATGTAAGTCCATGGGTTTGACTTGTGACCTTTCTGTGTTTATGCTTCTTGTAGGTTTGAGTGGCCGCTTCTTTGTCACCACTCTACCAGCATTTTTTCAGTAAGTTTAAATACTCTTCTGCCCTTGCAAAGATTAGAAATTGATAGATGTGTGCCAGGAAGTCTAAGTTGTTTTCCATGGCTTCAGCTTTATGCTGAAGGGGATAAAGACTGTTCTGCTCTGAGGAGAGTATGGAGAAGGGGACATGATTTCAGCAGGGGATATGGGGAGCAGTGGTCGGAGAAAATGTCTCTGGTGATATCAAAGGGATAATTGTTAAGGAATGGGTTAAGCCAGTAAGCTGGAGTAAGTCTTTCCAGGCAAAGGAAGAGCATGTGAAAGCCCAGGATAAAATGAGATTCTTTCGGAGAACTTTAACTCATTCTGTTTGACTGGCCTACAAGGTACTGTTGGGCATAGGAGTGGAAAGAGGAAAGAGAAAAGGGGGTGGATTCCAGCGCTAGTTAGGAGGTTGGATCATTCTGACATGATGACAGAAATGGGAAGGAAAAGTCTGTGATGGCTATCAGTAGGCCATGTGCAACTAATAAATGTCTTACCTACCCTCAAGATAAGGGAACCATTAGGTTAAGATGAAGTTTGGAAGATAGAAAAATGGAAAGATAGTACCACGTGCCTGTGCTAATTCCAAATGGAGAAGTTTAAGGGACAGTTGGATATCAGGATTTAGTGCTCATAAAAAAGGTTTAAACTGGTGATACATTTTTGGTATTTCTCAGTATAAAGTGTATAATTATTGAAGTATCTGGAGACAACACATATGGTGGGAAGAGAAGCAGGTCAAAGGTTGAACCTGGGTTTGAACAACATTAGGACATCTGCAGAAGAAGACAGTTAGTGACCCTTAAGTGGAATGGTCAAGTAGTAAGAAGAGGTCCAGAGAGCTTGCGGCATGAAAGCCATGCCCCAGGAGGAAGGAAGTGGAGTTGAGCAGTGGCAATGTGAATGATAGATGGAGGGGAGGCAGCAGAAAAGTGTCCCATGGATTGGGGCCCTTGTCGTCATTAGAGACTCCCATCCTGGGAGCAGTTACAGTGGAGTCAAGGGAGCAGAATGAGTAATAGCAGAAAATGGCCAGTGTACACTTCTCTTGGGAGACTTGATAATGGCAAGAAGGAAAGAGGAAGGGAAGGCTGAGGGGGGATATGAGGGGAAGGGAAGGCTGAAGGGGGGTATGTGAGGAAGGGAAAGCTGAAGGGGGATGTAAGAGGAAGGGAAGGCCGAAGGGGTATGTGAGGAAGGGAAGGCTGAAGGGGGATGTGAGAGGAAGGGAAGGCTGAAGGGGG